AAAGGAAAAGCACAGAGAGAAGGAAGAGGAGAGAAGAGTGGGTTTGGAGGAGGGGGTCTTAGTCCCCCGCTGCCTCAGCATTTGGGGAACTGGGACTCCCTGCGGGGAGGCGAGGAAGCCTGGAAGTCCTGGAGGGACAGGGTCCCAGGAAGAGGGGACAGAGGAGCTGAGAGAGGGGGACAGGGCTTGGGGAAGGGGTCCCTCGGAGGCCTCCTGGGGATGGGGGCTGCAGCTCGTCTGAGCGCCCCTCGAGCGCTGGTACTCTGGGCCGCACTGGGGGCGGCAGGTAAGACCTGAGGTTCGGGGCAGGAGCCCCTGAGGGGGGGGTGAGGGCGGGGGTGCCAAGGAGAAGGATGCAGGCTGCTGTCTTCCCAGCTCACATCGGACCAGCACCTGACCCGGAGGACTGGTGGAGCTACAAGGATAATCTCCAGGGAAACTTCGTGCCAGGTGCAGCCTAGGCGGGGACCCAGGAATCCAGCCCCTAGGCGCCTCCTTTAGACTCAGGAGTATGGGTCCCCAGCCCCTTCTTCGCCCCAGGACCAGACGTCCCAACCCCCTCCTCCCTCCCTCAGGAGTCGGGCCAGCCTCTGAACCCCGGGGGCTCACCAAGGGACATTATACATGCGCATTTCAAGTAGTGAGTGGGAGTGAGTGGAAGGAAAGAAAGTGTGGGGGTGGAGATTATGTGTGTGTGTGTGCAGGCAGAAGCAGGCCCTGGCTCCTGCTGGGAACCAGAGCCTTGGTGGCCCGGTCCCCCACCTCCTCCTGCTCTCCCTTGCAACTCCTCTCCTCAATACATTCATTATCCCACTGTGGGACAAGGGAGACTGAAGGAACTACAACTCCCATGGGGCTCTGGGGCTGGCAGGCAGTAGATGGGTAGGCTGACAGCCCTGAGGCCTGCTGGGAGCTGTAGTTCTTTCCACAATGACTTAATTTAAGATGAGTTGGGTCAAAGAGAGGCTTGGAGATGTAGGAAGTCTTAGGAAACTATTCTAAGATTCTTCTAGGACTCAGGATTCTGGATCCCAGAATCCTTCTCCCTCAGACCCAGTAATTCAGGTCCCCAGCCCCTCCTCCTGGGGGATCCAGGAGTCCAGACCACAGCCCTCACTCAGCAGATCCCAGCATTGGGATCCAGTCCCTATTTCTGACTTGCCCCTGCCCCCAGGGCCTCCTTTCTGGGGCCTGGTGAATGCAGCCTGGAGTCTGTGTGCCGTGGGGAAGCGGCAGAGCCCTGTGGATGTGGAGCTGAAGAGGGTCCTTTATGACCCCTTTCTGCCCCCATTAAGGCTCAGCACTGGAGGAGAGAAGGTAAGAGGCCTGGAGGGAGGAGTTACTGACTCTTCTGGGGGTGGGTATGAGAGGGGTGGGGGATGGGGTGCTGGGTGGGAGGTCAGCCTTGGGGAAGGAGGGGATTCCTACTGGGTGGAGAGAAGGTTCCTTGCATTCTAAAATGGATCACCTGTTCTTCCCTTCCCAAACATGGCTCCCTAGTATTCCCATCTCCGTAGAAGCAATGAAAACCAGAACATTTCCCATGCCGGGCAGTTTTAAAAGCCTGATAAGCTCTCTCATCCTCCCAACAACCCCACAGAATAATACTATTATTACATTGATTTTATGGATGTAGAAACTAAGGCACAGAGAAGTTAAGTTACTTGCCTGGGGCCACATAGCTAGAGTGAGTGTTGGGATTTAAACCAGGCAGTGTGGTCCCAGCAGCATGCATGCTGGGACTCACTTTGCCATATTATTTCTTATAAGAGCTGGTGGCACCCTTCAGCCAAAACCCTCAGAGCCATTCCCCATCCCATCCTCTCCCTCACTGCCATTTCCAATCCATGTCCTTTCTAGCCTTACTGCTAAATATTTTTCAAGTCCTTTCACTTCTCACCCCCTCCACTGTCCCCACTCTCATCCATGCCACCATCATCTCCCACTTGGACTGGTGGCGTAGCCTCCTTGCTAGCCTGCCTCTCTGCTTCCTGCAATCCATTTTCCACGCCGCAGCTACAGAGATGTTTAAAACGCACACCAGATCATATCCCTCTCCTGCTCCAAATACTTCTATTAGGTTAAGTAATAATAGCAAACACATAGCACTTACTGTGTGTTTGGCACTCTGTCAAATGTGTTTTATATATATATATATATTCAGTTTATCTAAATAAAAATGCAAAACAAAGGCCTGCACCATTGCACCATCTGGCCCCTGTTGCCACTCTCTCTTTTGTTCAGTGGACTCTGGTCCCACTGGTGTCTTTGCTGTCACTAAAATAGGCCACCTTAGGGCCTTTGCACTTGCTGTTCCCTCTTCCTAGAATACCCTTCTCCCTGTTCTTTTGCAACTAACCCCTGCTTATCCTTCAGGTCTCCATTCAAATGTCACCTCCTTTGAGAAGCTTTTCCTGATCACCACCCCCCCGCCCCCCGCCCACCCCATTTAAGCTGGGTCCCTTATTGCACTTTCTCAGAGCTCCCAGTTCCTCCCGGCATGAATGCAGGATGTAATTAATTAAGCAGTTTCTTATGTGATTCGCTATTTATTGTCTGTCTCTCCCCCATTAGAACATAAGCTTCATGAGGTCCAGGATGTTTGACTACATGTTTATTGCTCTATTTTTGCCATCCGTGGCACATAGTGGCAACTCAGTCCATATTTGCTAATTAAATGAATTCACCAATACTGGGCACCTCTTATGGACCAGCATAGAGCCTGGAAAGTGGTTGGTGCTCAAACTATGCTGAATGATTAAATGATTGTTGGACTCAGAAAATGTAGGAACGGGAAATGGAAGGGAAAGATCTTTACTGTGGCCCCCTGACAGCTCACGCCTCTCCCACAGCTCCGGGGAACCCTGTACAACACCGGCCGCCATGTCTCCTTCCTGCCTGCGCCCCGGCCTGTGGTCAATGTGTCTGGGGGTCCCCTCCTTTATAGCCACCGACTCAGTGAACTGCGGCTGCTGTTTGGAGCTCGAGATGGAACTGGCTCTGAACACCAGATCAACCACCAGGGCTTTTCTGCTGAGGTGGTGGCCACTGACCTGTTACCTGAGACCCTCCACCCTGAGTCACCTCAATTCCTCCTACCTCACTCTCTTAATGCCTAACCCCATCCTCCCCGACAGAACTGGCCTCTCACCCTAAGCACTAATCCTCAACCTGCCTCAAGCCCACAAAGCTAGTCATTCTCTCCTCCTCTTCTGCTGGAGGACCCCCACTCTGTGCTTCCCCCCAGGTGCAGCTCATTCACTTCAACCAGGAACTCTACGGGAACCTCAGCGCCGCCTCCCGGGGCCCCAATGGCCTGGCCATTCTCAGCCTCTTTGTCAATGTGAGCAGAGGCAAGATTCTGAGGAGGGAGGAGCCCAGGGCCTGGGATCCAGGGTCTGAGGGAAGAGGGGGGTGGGGGGGGCAGGGAGGCCCAGGCTCCTGGGTCCTGGGGGAGGGGGGATTGAAAGCGTGGACATCTCGGCTCTTGCTTCCTCGCCTTGCACCCAACACAGGTGGCTGGTAGCTCAAACCCATTCCTCAGTCGCCTCCTTAACCGTGATACCATCACCCGCATCTCCTACAAGAGTAAGTCCCTGGCGTGCTGGGGCAGGGGGACACATGAGGGGTGTTCAAGAGAGGCATCCCTCTTCACTCTGGCCTGATAATCCCACAGATGATGCCTACTTTCTTCAAGACCTGAGCCTGGAGCTCCTATTCCCCGAATCCTTCGGCTTCATCACCTATCAGGGTTCTCTCAGCACCCCACCCTGCTCGGAGACTGTCACCTGGATCCTCATTGACCGGGCCCTCAATATCACCTCTCTCCAGGTGATCCTGTGTGTCCACACCCCCCTCACCCCCAGGCCTGGGTATTTCATTCATTGGCCTGGGCGTCCTCTTGCCTTGCCTACTCGCCTGTCCTCATAGACTGGGGACTCAAGGAGGCAAGAGGGTCAGACAACCCTTGAGGTGGGGTGGGGCTGAGAACAGGCTCCACCCATATGCTCTCAAGGGCGGGGTTTCCTGCGTGACGTCACCAGGACCATTCACTATTCACTCCCAGTTTCCCACCCTCCTTCCCTGGCAGATGCACTCCCTGAGACTCCTGAGCCAGAATCCTCCCTCTCAGATCTTCCAGAGCCTCAGCGGTAACGGCCGGCCCCTGCAGCCCTTGGCCCACAGGGCACTGAGGGGCAACAGGGACCCCCGGCACCCCGAGAGGCGCTGCCGAGGCCCTAACTATCGCCTGCATGGTATGGTCCAATCTCCACCTCCTCCACGTATTGGTCTAACCCGCTTATGTGTCTCCCCGTGGTGTCTCAATATAACACAGACCCACCCCGCTTTGCGGCTTCCGTATGGTCTAGCCTTCTGAGCTCCCCCTTTCTCCCTTCTCCCTGCGTCTCGACGTGGTACACTCCACATCCCGCCGAGGACCACTGCAGGTCCATGATTTGTCCTTCCTCTTCACGGCTTTGTAACTTGGTACATAACCCGAGCCTCCTGGCTGCCTAGTGGTATAATTACCTACTGGTCCGTCCTTCCTGTTACTGTGACTTCCCAAATGGTACAGTCTGGATCCCCTCCCTCTTTCCCTGTGGTACGACCCTGTGCTGTTCCACCGTGCGACAGCGGCCCTCCCGCTTACCGAGAATCAACAAAATACGATTCCTTTCCCTCCCTGCTGCCTCCCTGTGGTTCAGCCCTGCGATCTAATTGGCTTCTCAGCATGGTACAGTCCAGGCCTCCGCCCACCCCCATCAGTACCTTCAAGTAGTTCAGCCTAGTGCTGAATCCGGACATCCTATCCCACCCTCGGTTGCCGCCTCATGGTTCAGCCCAGCGCTGGTCTAGGGTCTCGCCGTTTCCCCGCTTCTCAACCCGGTGCATTCCCATTTCCCCTTCACATCCCTGTGGGGGAGCCCTGCGCGGTCCAGCCCACGCGCCTGCACGGCCCAGCCTGTCCTAACTCCCGCTACCCGTGTCCTCTGTCTTACAGTGGATGGTGCCCCCCATGGTCGCTGAGACTCCCCATCGAGGATTGCGCCCGCCCGTCCCAAGCCTCCCCGCAAGAGAAGGGGAGTAACCCCCAAAGCAAAGCTATTAAAGGGACACAATGCTTCCTGTTTCTCAGTGGTCTGATTCCAGGCGCGGTGGGGAAACACTTGGGTATTAAAAAAATCAGTCGTCAGCCTTCTTCCAGAAACCAATTCCCCTCTTCCTAAGCTTCCACTACTCTGATTTTTTTGGCTTCCCGCTTCCCAAAACAATCATTTGGACAGCGGCCCCTTTAAGCGGCCCCTTTCCTCTCCAGCCTCTCCCCCCGCCCCCCGCAATCAGGCAGCACGCGCAGAGCCATGTGCTTCCCCCTCCTGCCTGCCTCATTGGCCCGAACTGGGTCACGGTCCCGCCCCCAGCACGGCCACCCATTGGGCAAATGTAGGTCAGTGTCCCGCCTCCCTCCGAAAGGCAAGGCAACTTCACGCGCTGAGCCCCTCACGCGCCCTCGCGGGCCTTGGCCGATCCAGGGGTCCTATTGGCTGAGCGTCTCAAGGGGTCGAGACACGATTGGCCCGTGCTTGCAGCCGGAGGGAGGCACGCGGCAGGGGTGCATGCCCCAAGAGGCGGGCGGGGCCAGGGCGGGCGCGGGCGGGGGCCGGGAGGAGGGGCGCGAGCTGTGGCGTCGGGTGTTTTGGTTTGGATTTTTTTTTTTCCGCGAAAGAAGTTTGCTTTGGCCACGCCTCAAGGCAGCCGCCTCCTCCTGCCCCCTCCTCCTCCCCTCCGCGCACACCTCTTGGTGCAGATTGCAAAGCGCCTTCCTTTTCGAGAGCTGCAGATTTTGCAAGAGCCAGGCTCGCCCACCTTGTAGAGGGAGCGCCTTGTGTCCCCGTGCACCCTGCAAAGAGCCGGCCGCTTGATTTGGTCACCCCCTCGCCTAGACTGCATGACCTCCTGGGACCCTTGTGAGTTGCACGTTTCTGCACCGAGGACCGCAAATCCCCGTCGCTCTTAGGATTTGCAGCGTTCTGGATACTGGAGGCTTGCAAGCTACGCTCGCCCGCCCCTGGGCACACACTGGCCCAAACCACTGGAGTGTGCCGGTGACTGGCAGGCCAGCCCTTCGCCTCTCCATGAGCCCGTGAGTCTGGGGGCAGGTGCCCGGCGATGGCGCGGCCTGTGAGCGACAGGACCCCGGCCCCCCTGCTGCTGGGTGGCCCTGCCGGGGCCCCCCCTGGCGGGGGAGCGCTGCTTGGGCTGCGAAGCCTTCTGCAGGGGACCAGCAAGCCCAAAGAGCCAGCCAGCTGTGAGTTCTAGCCCTCACTTCACCCAATTCAGATACCCGACTCCCTTAGGGACTCAAGCGCTGGGGGTTCCACAGACACCTCCTATGTATTGGAAGTCCACCTTCCCAATCTTTAGCTAGCTACTCAATTACTCAGGTGTTTAGGCTCTTAGATCCCTCAGCGCCCAGGACCTGAAAGTGCCGGCTCTGAAGCCCATCCGTCCCGAGGACCCAGGAATCCGGGTCCCCAGCGTCCTCCTCCCTGGGGGCACAGCAGTCTAGGCCCCAGTGTCCTCTTCCCTTTGGTCTGAGAATGTGGACCCCTGGGGTCCAGGGAGAAGGGAGGGGGTGTGTCGAATGCTCACACGGTGGTGACACGGGCTTGGGCGGGACCTCATGGGGTCACATGGAGTCTAGGGATGAGGAATGTGCCCCAGGAAGAGCCCCTTCCTGCCCCCCAAGCTTGTGGGGGAGGGAAGAAGGGGGGTACAGTGCGCAGGGGTGGGGGTGTGGTAATTACAGGAGTTACAGAGCTGTCATTTTTTTTCTCTCACCTACCCAACTCTCCACCTACCCTGTCTCCTCTTTCTGAACTTCCATTCTTCTTTCTCTGGGTCTTTCTGTGTCACCATCGCTCTGTGAATCTCTGTCCTCCTCTTTCTGCGTTTCTGTCCACCTCTCTCTGTCTCTGGCGCCCTCGTTTCCGTTCTTTCCCTCTGGGTCTCTCTCCCTTCCTCTCTCTGGGCCCTTGCCCTTCCTCTCCCGTCTCTCCCCTCCGAACCCCATCCCCTCTTTCTGTGGATCTCCGCGGTATGGGTCTCTGTGCCCCCTTCTCCCGTAACTCCGACTCGGGGTCTCGTCTCCATCTCTATCTCCTCCACCCATCCCCTCCCCCATCCCTCCCGGTCTTTCCCGGGCCACAGGTCTCCTGAAGGAAAAGGAGCGCAAGGCGGCTCTGCCGGCAGCCACAGTCCCGGGGCCGGGCCTGGAGACGGCGAGCCCGGCGGATGCCCCAGCTGGGGCGGTGGTGGGCGGCGGATCCCCACGGGGGCGCCCGGGGGCTGTGCCAGGCCCGGGCCTGTTGGCGCCGCTGCTGTGGGAGCGTACGCTGCCGTTCGGCGACGTGGAGTACGTGGACCTGGACGCCTTCCTGCTGGAGCACGGGCTCCCGCCCAGCCCGCCGCCTCCCGGTGGCCTGTCGCCCGAGCCCTCGCCGGCGCGCACGCCCGCACCCTCCCCGGGGCCAGGCTCCTGCGGCTCAGCTTCCCCCCGCTCCTCGCCTGGGCACGCCCCCGCCCGGGCTGCCCTCGGGGCCGCGGGTGGCCACCGCGCAGGTGCGGCGAAGGGGGCGGGGTGGGTCCCTTACTGGGCGGAGCTTGGTTCCGGGGGCGGGGCGATGCCGGGGGCTGGGACGGTGGGACTCGGGCTGGTGGCCCGAATTCTGAATACTTCTGATGAGAGATGTCGTGGCGGGGGGCTGGAATCTGTGGCCGCTAATGGATCAGGGACTTGGTCTCCTGCATCCATAGAGGAGGAGAAACTTGGAACCCCAAATTGTAGGAAGCTTGCTTAATGAAGATAAATTGTGGATTTTTCTGTGTGACATGGGGACAAAGGGTCCCGATTCTGGTGGAGCTGGGACTGGAGGCCAGGAACACTGGAGTTATTTACTGAGGAGTGGACTAGGCTCTAGAATCTGGGGCCAGAATCGGTGGAACTGAGATAAGACCGGAACTCCTAGGCCCTCTACGAGGCGAAGGCGAGGGCTGGGCACAGACTTCTATTTACCCAGGACATGAGAGACTGGCAGCCCGGGTTCCTGGGTCCCCCAGTGTGGAGTTCTGCAGCCCCAGATCCCAAAGTCCTCCAGAGGAGAGAAGGTCAGGGATCTTGATCTTGGGTCCACCAGTTGGGGCGAGGGCCCAGCTTCCTACATTCCTGGGAGAGGAGGCGCCTGGGGTCTCTGAATCCTGGGTACCAGTGCCGAGGGGCTTGGGAGCCTGAGGAGAAGGTCAAGGGAAACGATTTGGCTCCCCAGAGAGCAGGGAGTCGGGATCCTTTGGAGGTTGCGAGGTTGGAGCTAAGAGGCCGGAAGAAGCAGGAGGAACAGTGTTCCCCTTCGGTCATATTGGGGTCTCCAGGGACTGACTACAGGTCTGGGATTCTTGGGCACACCTGCCCCTGTTCCGACTTTGGGGCAGAACCAGGGCCCTCCTCTTCCCAGCCGCACATTCCCAGGCCACGTGAGTTCTCCCCTCCCTCCTCCGCGCTTTGCGCACGCGCCGTCACGCGCGAGGGGGCGGGGCCGGGGGAACGTGAGGGCGCCCGTGGTTGGGGGGGCGGGGAGGGTAGGAAAGCAGGCGTCGGCACGTGACTCGGCCCTGAACCTGTGTCCTCAGCTGGCCCCAGCTAGCTCGCGCTTAAAGGCACAGGCGCCTCCTTTTAAACAAACCTTCTGGAACCCCAGAGCGGCTTCCGCTTCTCTTCCCTAACCCTTCGGATCCAGTATCTCTTAGAATCTAACTTAAGATCCTTAATTGCGGTAAATTCCTTTCTTTAAACAGCCCAGGGTCTAAACTTTGGTCATGGATTCAGTGAGTAGGATTCAGGGTAGACTGTGAGAAGAAACTCACACTGTGAATCTGAAGTCCTGAGGTTTTAGAATCAATATCCCTGACTTATGTGTTACTTAGGGAAAGTCGGTTATGACTGGGCCGGTTTGTAAAAGTAGAGCTGGCTCCACCAGGTCTAAGCATCTTTATGGCTCAGGGAACCTTCATATTTTATACTGGGGAGGTTAATCCTTCTCAGGCTTTATGCTAGGCCCCCGAAGGGCCATCGATGAGGTGAATATGATAACCTGGGCAGGGGATAGCTTCTGGGAACTCCTCCCCAAAATAAATACACATTCAGCTGACATATTCTGTTTCCCCAAGGCCTAACCTCTCGGGACACACCCAGCCCTGTGGACCCAGACACGGTGGAGGTGCTGATGACCTTTGAACCGGACCCAGCAGATCTTGCCCTGTCAAGCATTCCTGGCCATGAGACCTTTGACCCTCGGAGGCATCGCTTCTCAGAGGAGGAGCTTAAGCCCCAGCCAATCATGAAGAAGGCAAGGAAAATCCAGGTGCCAGAGGAGCAGAAGGTAAGTGCCACCGGATGCAGGACACAGGCTTCGCCAGGGACAGGTCCCACAGCCGGGGATGGGCCTTTTCTCACAGTCAGGCCTGGGCTTCTCATTGGGATTAGCTCTCAGCCTCTCCTGGCCTATAGCCAAGGATTAGTCCTCCTTGGCCATGGGGCACAAGGGGGCAGGAGTTTTGGCCTGAGATTTATGAACCCAGTGTCACTGTGGGGTGCAGACTCAGCCAGCCTGTCTAGGCCTGGTTGTACAGGCTTGGAGCTTCTCCTATCATTTGGACCCAGAACCCCCAATGGGCAGGCCTCAGGCTCCATATTGGCCTGTGGACTGTCTCTCCTTAGCACCCAGCCAGGCTGGGGCTGGGCCTTTGATCTCTGATTTGGTGCATCCTTCGAGTGTTTGCATCTACCTAAGGTACAGACCTTGCCAGCCTCACCAGGCCTTGTTTCCTGGGCCTGGACTTCTCACTGGTGGAAGGCCCCAGGTTCCCCATTAGCAGCCCAGGCAACATTCTGATTTGAGGTGGTTACAGCAGTCACTGCATCTTTGTAGCCTCCTGTTCTTGCCATTTTTGGAGTCTCCCCCTGCAAGAGGTACCTGGGCTTCTTTTACAACACTTTGCCATGCCTTTGTGTAAGACACAGCTACTTGAAGCAGCTAGGACTGGCCTGGAAGCCAAATCTAGATTAGTGGTTTCTCCTGCTATAGGGCCCTGTTGCTAGGGACTGGATTTGCCCCGGCAAGCAGGAACTAGGCTTTAATTAAATGGGGAGGGGGAAGCATCTCTATTCGCTAGGTGGTCCTTGTTATTAAGGAATAACCAAATTCCAGGATTGGAGGAACCTAGGTATAATCCTCTGGGGAAGTCTCAGGACAGTCCCCTTTCCTAAGGAACAACTCTTCTATCAACCAGGTACTGTTGGGGAAGAGGCAGCTCCTGGCCTCAGTTCAAGGCCAGCAGGTCAGAGCTTGGCCACAGTCATTGGGACCACTTAGACTTCACTTTTGTTTGCTGAGGAAGGATGAGTTTGCCTTGGCAACCAGGTCAAAAGGGGCTCAGCTCTGGATTTTATGGGACATCAACCCCCCTCGCTAGGGGGCCTAAGCCTTCCTTAGCAACCAGGATCTGGAAAGGTAATGATATATAAGGCAGTGCTTTTCATTGGGAGAAGCCCTCAGACCCTGAAGGCCCTGTTGCTAGGGAACAAGCACCCTTAGCAACCAGGAGGTAATGGCAGGCCCTTTGTAAGTGGGGAGGGCTGAGGTCTGCTTTGCACAGTGGAGACTTGGAGCCTAGTTGCTTGGGGTGGGGGTCTATCTCATGCCTTGCCTGTTGCTAGGGGCCTGCTCTCCCTAGCAACCAGAGCCTACTAGGGCAGACAACTTTGGGTACCTATCCCAGCAGAGACCCAGTATCCTTTAGGCCCCAGTGCTGGGCAAGAAGCAGTCCTGAGGGTCTGTTAGAAACTGCTCCTCCCTCTCTCGCTGAGGCATGGGCTCCTCTGGACCTCAGTGCCCTACCACCCCTCCACCCTTAGGACGAGAAGTATTGGAGCCGGCGGTACAAAAACAACGAGGCGGCCAAGCGGTCCCGCGATGCCCGGCGGCTGAAGGAGAACCAGATATCGGTGCGGGCGGCCTTCCTGGAGAAGGAGAACGCCCTGCTGCGGCAGGAGGTGGTAGCTGTGCGCCAGGAGCTGTCCCACTACCGCGCCGTGCTGTCCCGCTACCAGGCTCAGCACGGAGCCCTGTGAAGCCGCCCCCGACTCCTACCTGGTGGAGGTCTCCTCCACCTCTCTCAGACTTGCTCCCTGACACCCTGTTCCCTCCCTGCCCTGTGCCCCACGGGCCAGCCAGCTGGGTGCCCCAGGGACGTGATGCAGATAAATACATTTATATTTTTAAGAAAAAGCAAGCCTCCCCCCTCCCTCGAGGGGGCGGGGAGGGTAGTCTATGTGTGCCCCCGGCACGTCGGGGACCCCACCCTTCCACGCCTCCGTTAACACGATCCTGAATAAATCTTGAGAACCCCCGAGCCAGCTGTTGTGGAGGAGGAGGCAGCTCCCTGGCCCGGGTTCAAGGCCAGCAGGTCATACTGGCTACAGCCCGTGGGCAGATCCGGGCTGCTGTCCATAAAAGGCAGGCGCTGCTGTCAGATGTAGGAAGGGCAGAAGGTCTGGGAGGAATGAAGCGACTGCCTTTATTGCATAGACCTTTTCAATTGCTTTTTAGATTGGGGAGGGGGGACGCACATGAGACAGAACAAGAGATATGAATTTCCTCACCCCCACCCGCGGAGAGAGGAACATTAGTGCAAATCCGAGCGCCGGCCCCGGGGAACCTGCCCCTCCTGGGCTGATTGGCCAGTTAAGTGGAGGCACCGGAGTGGATAGGGCGAGACCCGGGCCCTGACTGGCAATTAACTAAGGCCTCCCCCGGCCTCGTACATTCCAGGCACCGTCAATGGGCGGCGCGTAAGACAGGCTCCGCCCTCAGCCGCCCTGGCCTTCAACGAGCCGGACGCGGGGGTCAGGGCTTGCTTAGGGGCGGCCAAAGCTCAGACGCCAGGCCCCACCCTCTCGGTCAGGCACTAACCGGGGGACGAGCCCATTTCTCTCTAACTATGACGACACCCACCGCCTGGAACTCAGACCACTGTCCAGCTTCACGTCGGGTCCCCTGAAGGCGGGCGCAATCCTGAGATAGGGCCACCGCCCCAAATTTGGCAGCCAGGCCTTACGCCCTAGCTCAGGCTCCGCCCCCTTGGAATGTAGGCCCCGCCCCCGGCGGGTTCCGAGTTTGGTTGGGTTCAGGGCTCCCGCCCAGTGCAGCCAGGAGGCCCAGTGAGCAGAGTAGCGAGGCCAGGATGCATCTGTGCCTGCAGCGGCCCATACTCCACCTGCTCCCCGTCCACCGTGAGCACACCGCGAGGAGTGAGCGGCTCAAGGCGGAAGGCACGGGCCGCAGCGTAGCCCAGCTGCGGACAGCCCAGGCTGAAGTGGCTACCATGCTCCATAGCCAGGAAAAGGCGCAGCAGTGCGGCCCGCGAGATGCCACTTCGCACCCAGCACAGGTGCACCAGGCCATCATCAAAGCGTGCGTGGGGAGCCGCCACCATGTCAGCGCCCAGGTGGCTGGGAGAGATAGCCAACATGAGCACAAAGTCCCCCTCCACGGTCACCCAGTCTGGGGGCAGTGGGGTGCCCAGTGGAGGCAGCAGGTGGTCAGGTGGGCCCCAGGTAGACACTGCTATCGGGGCATCAGGGGTGGGAGGTGGGAGCCCAGAGGATGGGGGAATTTCTGGGGGCCCCTCAGCAATAGGTGAGAGTAGAGCTGCCTTGGGAGAGCCTGGAGGTGAGGACAGCAGTGGATCTGGGGACAGAGGAGCATCCCCAGCCCCACCCCAGTCTCCGGCCAGCTCTGGGCCCCCACCATTGAGGGACAAGATGGGCAGAGGTTCAGGTGAGCCAGGGGAGGCCAGGGCAGACTGGGGCAGGGGCAGGGGCAGGGGCAGGTCAGACACTGATCGATGCAAGGGTGAGTGGGCCATGGGCGGGGCTGAGTCTGGGGCCAGGGTCAGCTCTGACTTGGCTCTTGGCAGGCCGTGGGTGGGGGTGGGTGAGGCAGTCTCCCCAGTGGCAGGGAGGTAGGAGAGGCGTCCGCGGTAGGTGTGCAATGTCGCGAGGCCCAGCACTGTGCCTAGGGTGAAGCGGGCACTACCCAGGGCCCTGAAGCGCTCACTCTGGATATCCACATCCGACACAAAGCCCCAGGCCACAGCCAGGAAGGAGAAACAGCGGGAGCCCGAGGCCAGTGTCACGGACAGCAGGTCCAGCGGGTGGCTCCCACCCCGGCAGAGCAGCAGTGAGCAGTTGAGCAGCAAGTCGAGACCCAGGGCTGGCTCAAACCTTCACAGTCAAAGAAAGACAGACACAGTGGGAAAGAGCAGATGGGCTTGGGTGAGAGCAGAACGCAGGGCAGGGGCAGATAGACACAGGCAGGCAGGGAAGCAGATGGGCTGGGACTAGGGAGGCCAGGGCCCCAAGGGCCCCACCACAGCTGGTGGCCACCTCCAGGTAGACTCTTTTTACTGGGCCAGTCCCCCTGTCAGTTCTTTCATTCCATAAATATTCATTGAGTGCCCTCCGTGTGCCAAGCCCAGTTCTAGACTCTAGGGATATGGCTGGGGGCATGCCAGGTAAAAATGCCCAGGACTTGGGGGCAGAGCATCCTGCAACCAGACTGGCTTACTTGCCTGAGGGGGAGAGGTGGAGGTCCCTGTTACCCAGGAGGGCTCATCCCTCCCCTCATGCTATCCTCAGCCTCCTCAGCAGGAGCCCCCAACCTACCCCCCACGCTGGTTCACTGCTCCAGCCAGCGCATTGCCCGAGCCGCAAGGGAGAATACCCACGGGCATCTTCACAGCCTCCTCCCAGTCGGGGCGATCTAGGAGCCCATTCAGCACCTGGAGGGTGGGAGACCAGATGCCTGGGTCCTGGTCCCAGGCTGGGCAGTCCCCCAGGACTCAGGGCAACGGTACTCCTGCTCTACCTCATAGAGCAGCCCATCTCCTGAGACAGTGACGATGCCGTCCCACTCACTCAGGCTCAGCCCCTGGACCAGCTCCCGGGCGTGGTTCTGTCGTTCTAATGTGGGAAACCAGGCAGTTAGGCAGGCTGTCCCACCCACCCCTCCAAGACCCCGGAGTCCCACCCACCACTTTGCTCCCTAGGACTCAGGAGTCCTAGTCCCTGGCCCCTTACCTGTCTGTATGAGGTTGAAGGATAGCCCAGCTTCAGAGATCATGGGCAGCACATGGTTCTTACACCACTGCCAGGCCAGGCCCCGCCCTCCAAAGGGATTGACCAGCAGGAGCAACCGGGGTGGCCTTGGCAGAAGCTCAGGAGTGATCTCTGCGGAGAGAGGGTAGGGTCTACAGAGGCCAGAGACCCTGGGTCCCTCACCTTGGAAATAATCCCCTCCAACAGCCCCCAAAGGAATGGGAGGGCTGGCACCTGGAGCCTGTTGGGAGTTTTCCTCTCCCAGCCCTCTCCTGGGGGCCAGGCCCAGGTATGCAGCCCCACCTCCCAGGTGCTGAGACAAAGGCAGAGCTTGGACGTGAAACCAAATGCCCTTTGGATCCACGTGGGAGGATACAGAAGCTGTTTCTCGCTTTCTTCAGGATCAGGTTCCTCCACCCCTCACTGTACCATGTAGGGGCCCCAAGCAGCCGGCAGGACCTTGGAGGACCAAGGCTCATGAGAGCCTCCAACCTTTATCAGTTGAGGACCCTGGGGGGCGGGAAGCTCTGTCTAAAAGCCTTCTCTGACCCTCCACAGGCTGGATTAGAGCCACCTCTGGGCCCCTGAGATGCCCTAGGAGGCCACTATTGGCACCCATCACTCTGGGTGGGTACTGATCATGTCTCAGCTTGCTGTTCTCACCAGCCAGGAGCCTCTGATGGCTCCTGTTGTCAAGACCCGTGGAAGTGGGTAGGGTACAGAGACAGAAATCTAGCTAGAGAGCAGCAGCTATGAATCATTTTCTCTGCCTGTGTTTTTGTTCCTTTTGTAGCCCATCCCTGTCTGTGTATCACTCTTTCTGTGGACCCAGAGAAATATATGACATAGACAGACACACACAAAAATAGAGACAGAGATGCCCACAGGGGAGTTCTGCAGAGACACCAAGGTGGCCCGAGGACAAGAGCGACTGCCCAGAACCTCACCCCCATCCCCAGGCAGCGGCAGTCCTCGGAGCAGACATGTGAGGGCAGTGGCCCAGCGCTGGGCCTCAGCACGATTCTCTTCGTAGGTGGCTGCCCCATCTGCCCGGAAGGTGCGGGTGGCTCTGCGCCGGCCCCCACGCCGGCCCCGAGGGTAGGTGTAGACGCAGAAGTAGGCTGCTGAGTCTGAGGGGCTGCGGCTTCGCAGGGTGCAGCAGCCTGAGACCTCAGCCAGTGGGACCAGGCCACCACGGGGCCGGGCTTCAGGTTTTGGGCGCAGCCGCTGTATGTGCAGGGCCTGTGATGTGAGGGTGAGGGCGAAGCGTGGGCCACGGGCTGGGTAGGAGCCAAACTCGCCATGTAGGAGCGGGGTGCTGGCAGCCAAGGGTGGTGGTGGCGGGGCCATGGCCTCAGCCCTGTCCAGGGTGCTCCTAGGCCTGTGGCCCCAGCTCCCAGTCAGCTCCTGGTCCGGCTTCTGTGGGAAGGGAAGAGGGCAGGGGTCAGAGTCCAGGACCCCCATGGCAGGTGCGAGGAGGGGCAGGGCCTGTGGACAGAAGGAGACGATGACGGGCGGTGGCAGGTGATATCGGAGCACCAGAGATACACAGGCCCAGACAAGTGCGGGGAGATCCTGAGGATGTGGGGCAGAGGTCAACTGGGCAGGAAGGCCAGCATCCTGAAGGGCCCAGAGACCCAGGCAGGCAAACGTTCATTCATTTATTCTCCAAATAATGATTCAGTTCCCTCTGTGTGCAATCATGATGCTAGTGGCCCTGCAAATACAGCAGGGAACAAACCAGACAAAAATCCCTGCCTTCATGGGGTTTATATGCTAATCAGAAAACAGAAAAGCAAGATAAAGGAGTAAAATATATAGTGTGTTGGGTGACGACAAGGGCTTTGGGGAAAAATAAGGCACAGGAGGAGGATTGGACAGTGGAGACATACACAGAAATAGACATGCAACGACTGAGAAAGACACCCCACACAGGGAGTCACCCCCAGGTGCAGAGAGTAAACAGCTAGACTCTCAGACACAAACAAGGGAAGGATAAGGTCTGAGAGCCAGAGAAACACTGAGAGGAGACAAACAGCTTCATTAAGATGAAATCCAGAACGCTGAAAGATACTTAGGAGAGTAAGAGTTTCTCACTACAATGAGAAAGGCAACAGACAGAGGGAGAACAGGTAGGAGAGGCAGGAGGCAAAGATGTGGACAGCTGGAGAGAAGGGATGTGACACAGAGGGACTGAGGGGTCAGAGAGGAGCCACATACAAGCACCTGCAAGGGGCAGGGGCCAAGAGCTGGTCCCTGAGCACTGACCTGGGTGTCTGGCCGCCTGCTCTCCAGGGGCGGGTAGGAGCAGGGACTGAGGTCCCTTCCCTCCCCCTGCCCTCTGCCCAGCTTCTGCCTCCTCCTCCTCCTCCTTTCTGTTCACCTTTATTCCTCACTGCCCCACCCAGCCACCTGCCAGTCCTGCCCCTCACCTTCCGCAGGCCCAGAGCAGCCCAAACACACCCCCATCTGTGGACTCACCCTCCAGAACTACCTCTGCCCCACTGCCCTGGGTGGCTCCTGCAGGCCCAGGGTGTCTGATGACTTGCACTGGCCCCTTATGGGAACCTCAAATCAGGCTCAAGCACAGAGCCCTAGATGTCCTCCAGTCCTGGGCCTGGGTCTCTGTTCCCGGGTACCCGAGACCTGGGCCTGGGTCACCATCCATTGGTTCCCAATCCATAGGCCTGAGTCTTTGTGCCTGCGTCCCTCGGTCCCGAGCCTCCATTCCCACTCTATTTCCAGAACCCAGTCCCAGGCCTGGGTTTCCATCCCTGGATCCCTCAGTCCCGGTCCTCATTTTCCATTTCCATCTCCCACCCCTGGTATCCCGGTCCCGGGCTTGCGTCTCTGTTCCTCTCGACCCCTCAGTCCCCCGACTCTGGTCCCTGCACCGACCCCCGCACCCTCCTCACACGCCAGGTCCTCCTCCAGGCGGCCCCTCAAGTCAGCACCAATCGCCCCCATTAGACCTAGGGGTGGGAGGAGGGTGTGCATCGGCCCAGCCAATGGCCGCGCGACTCGCCTGAGTCACACCAATAAGAGCACGAGGGGGGCGGGGCCAGCCAACTCGCGAGCTTGGCGCAGGGGTCAGCCGCGGGAGAGCCCGAGAACTGGGCGGGGCATCGCGCTTAGCGAGACCGGGCGCCATCGCAGGTAAGGGCACACACGCAGCAGAGACGGCGTCGCGGCGCTATTGCCGCCATCTTTGTTGAGAGCAAGTGGGCCTGTCCCATCCATTGCGTTCATGAAAGAAAAGAGGCGTGGGGGAGGAAGTCCTTAACTGCAGAGGCAGAGACTATACCACAAGTAACAAAGGCCCAGAGACATGCTAAGGGAGTTAGTAAAAGACAGAGACCCAAAGAAGCAGGGTCAGAGGCAATAAGAGAGTTGGGGGGGAGAGACAGAGAAAGACGTAAGTGTTCATTTTTCAGACAGTTACAGACTGAATCAGAGACACAGAGAAAAGCAGAGATATATAGACAAAAAGACCAAAACAGTGGGATTGAGAATGTGCAAGGTAAGGACACAAGAAAACCCAGAAAATGACAGACAAAGGGACAGATGGAGACAGACAGTTCTGGAATGAAAACCAGGGAGAAGAGTTTCATTCATTTATAAGCTATTTACCTTAGGCTCAAACCAGCCTGGAGGCAGCATGAGATAAACATCAGCCCAGTGAATGACCCAGTCACATGGCAAGTCAGAGACACAAAGGGAGAGGGGGACAGTATCTACCACAGACCTTTAGATTAAGGGGAAGGGAGGGAGAGAATGTTGGAAGCCCAGAGGCTGAGAGGAACTGAGACAAAAAAGTGAAGATGTTGACAGACACACAGAAGCAAAAACACGGTGAAACTGAAAGAAAATAAGGTAAGGCTATATTAGGAGATCTAGAAACAGACAAAATTGCAAAGAGAGAAGGAGATAGGGACATAGGTCACTAGAAAGAGACAAATGTAGGAAGAAGTTCATTTATTGCCAAACAATGTAACATGCATCCAACGCACAGTAGCAGAAGCACCAGATAATATGTGCCAAGGTGATGCAGAGAGAAAGAGATCAAGACAGGGACACACCAAGCTTGGGACCCCGGGGGAAAAAAAGGCAGGGACACTGACCAAAGAGGCTAAGACTCAAACACAGAGACCAAGTCACAGAAACGAGGGAACAGGAAGGAGGAGGAGGAAAAGAAGGGGGAAAGACTGGCTGTGTGACCTCTGGCGAGCCCTCAATTCTCCACCTCAGCGGCCTGTCTGTGAAACAGAGAGAGAAGATCTGAGATCACAGACAGAAGGCCCTCAGATGAGGTGTTCCCACAGTATGATGATCTTGGCTTTCAGATGGACCCTTACCTGGTCCTGCTGTTCCTCTGCTTCAAGGTGTCCATTCATCTGCTGGCTCTCTGCTCTGCTACATCAGCAGGACCCAGGCCCTGGGTCTTATGCCACAGGAGGGTGGTACAGGCAAGGAGTTAGGCTTCACTGTCCAGGCCTGGCCTTTGGCTCTGTGGAGGAGAGGTAAATGAGTAGGAGCATTGAGAGCCAACTGCAGGAGGCCCTGACAGGCTCAATGTGCCTGAGGACCAAGAGACAAGGGAAAAAAGAGGTCAGCTTTATCGCTGCCCCGCCCAGTCCATCTTGTTTTACCCAATAAGTGCTAATAATAGGAGTGAGGGCTCCTTTTCATCGAGCTTTTATTATGTGCAAAGCACTGACCTAAGCACTTTTATTAACTTACATAATCCTGAAAAATATCCTACATGCTAGGCCTATTATTATACCTTTTTGTAGATAAGGAAAGTAAGGCCCAGAGAGGTTAAGTGATTTGTCCAAGAGCACAGAGAAGTTAAGTGGCTTGACTAAGGTCACAGCATTTGTAAGTAGCAGAGCCAGGATTTGAATTTGGTCACAGCCTGGCAAGGCCCCATCTCACCATATTTCTATGTCTCTACTTCTCCCTGAGTCTCCATCTCCCCCCTTTTTCTAGGTCTCCTTTCCACCCCCGGGCCTCCATTTCCCCCACCCGGTGAATCTCCATTCTTCCTCTTCTCTGAAACTGTCTCTTTCCCTCCAGGTCTCTCTTCCTTTTCAAGAGTTGTTTACCCGTACCCCCTCCCCCAAGCCTGGGTCTCAGTGTGCCTTCTCTGAGCTACAGTACCGTGCACATCCCTCACACCGAAACTGCTGGGCCAGTTGAAACTTTGTGGCTGGAAAAAGCAGCCCACCGGTGAAGGAGGTTGAGGAAGGGTCAGGGAAGAGCCGTCTGGGGATAGGGGGAGAAGCTGAACCAAAAAGGTTTAAATACAGCGTGCTACAAACTGAGCTGCAGCAAGAAGATCTCGGGCTAGACCTCAAGGAAGACTTCCCAAGCTGCGGCTGCGCCTAGGAAGTGCAGCGCGAGATAAGGCAGAGGTGATCCTGATAAGGAAACGCCAACGCGTGGGGTCAGAAGTTTTCCCAGGCCCGGACTAGCCCTGGCAGCCCCGCCTCCTCACCTCCAATACTTGGCCCGCCGGGTCCTCCGGGAGCCACAGAGAGGCCGTCGGCGTGGGGCCAGAGCGTCACCGCGCGACGAGTCCGCCTGGCTCCACGCATCTCTCTAGCTCCCAGATCACTTTCTGCCGGAAAACTATAGAGAACAGGAGCCGGGTAGGGCCAGAGAGGCCCCCGACGTGCTGGCCCCTCCCTCCTTGACGTTGCGCTTCTTCCTCTTTGGTTGTTTCGCCGCCCTATTCTGTTGTCGCCCGTCTGGCCAGTCATCCAATTCACCACAGAGAAGCCCAGATTAGTGGTAGAGCGGCGTGTCGCGCCCTTGTGTCGTCACGACGGCGCCACGCTCTGGTGGCTTTCCCCGCCCATTCGGAACCCGTTCTCTCTTTCTGAACCTGGCAGAGCAGGAGGCGCCATCATGGTGAGCTCGCTTTGCGGCGTTCAGGGCTTGACCATCCGCCGCCATCCGACGCAGTCTCGGGCTGGGGGCATGCTGGAGGGAGGCAGGGGTTCCGCGGGTGTCCAAAGGAGGCAACTCCCGAGGCGCAGGGCTCATCCTGGGATCCGGAGACCAGGAGTGGATCAGAGTCAGCTTCTGGCTCCTCTTGTGTGCTTACATTATCGTTTCCATTGAATAGATGACCAAATTAAGGTACTGGGAGGCTGAGTGATATGATTGGGGTCACGAAGCCAGGAAGTGGCGGAACCAGGATTCGTACCCAGATGGCTGTCTCCGCAGCCAGTGTTAACCACTTGCCTTTGCTGCTTGTCACTTCCTTAGTCTGGAAAGTTGGATTCTTGGGGGCAGGGTCGAGAGTTAAGTACCCGGGTTCTGGAGCCAGGCGGGCCTAAGAGTCTCAGATCTCGGCGCACTTTGTGTTGCTTTCCAGGCCTGTGCTGCCGTGTCTGTTGTTTCAGTAATCTTCTCTCGTAAGTTGTGCGTTTAGGAAGAAATAACAGGAAGTGCTCCTCACAGGGTCTTGCAAACTAACTGCTAAATAAGTGGGAACTATTAATGCTTAAATAGTCTTTCACAATTACTAGCACAACCTAAAAAACTTCATTTATTCGGAAAAGTAGGGCGGGAAGGTAGTGGGAATGGTGGGCTTCTCAACTTTAAAGTGGAGATAACAAACTACCTCATAGAGTTGTTGGATTGAAGGAGGTACGGCATGCAAAGATCTGTTGCCATTATTGTTTAATTTGGCTACTCTGTTAAGGTGTTGCAAGGTACTGTGTGCTATGTGGGGAAGGCTTTGTATATCCCCTTTTTATGGAGGGGTCAGTTGTGGTCCAAGGTCTCCCAGTGGTGGACCTGGGAATTGAACTGGTGTGTCAAGAGTTTGGGGCCCAGCTCAGTCTGGGAGGCAAGTAATTGTGAACATTTATGGGGTAAATGGCCTGATTCAGAACTGGGTCCATGGTTGCTCTTTCATCCCTGCAGGGAGTTGATATCCGCCACAACAAGGACCGAAAGGTTCGTCGCAAGGAGCCCAAGAGCCAGGATATTTACCTAAGGCTTTTGGTCAAGGTGAGTTTGGGGCCTGAGATCTTTGAGTAGGGTCACCCCAGGTCTGTGTCTTTCAGATCCTCCATTCTAGTGTTGGTACCAGGGGCCTGCAGGGCAGGCTCCCACATCTGGTTCTGTCCCAGAGTTTCAGTGTTTTTAGCCTCTGGGCTGTGTACAAGTTGGGAGTAGGGAGGGGGCTTTCTGGGTCCTTGGCCAGGAAGGACCTGGCCCATTCTCCCTTGAGTTCACTGGGATGGGGGAAAGTGATAAAATCCTTCTGTCCCAAATCGTCATTTGTTTGTCCTTTCACTAGAAAGTTGTAAGAAGTGGGCTGTCCCAGGTTCTCATTTGGAACTTTTTCCTACTCCAGCTATACAGGTTTCTGGCCAGACGAACCAACTCCACCTTCAACCAGGTTGTGCTGAAGAGGTTATTTATGAGTCGCACCAATCGGCCACCTCTGTCCCTTTCCCGGATGGTGAGTGGCTGGTCCAGGCAGCATAGGAAGACTTGGGGAGCCACTGGGTCTTGTCTGTCTGGAAGGGAGGGAGGGTGGGCTTGGAGCTCTGCAGGAGCAATCTGAGCATCCACTGGCTTGGCTTCTGGGCCTTGTTTCCTTCTCATTGTGAGGGGGGGTGGTCAAAGTGGCTTTATGAGACTGCCCTGAGGCTTCAAGTCATACAGCAGGAGTTTTACATGTCAAAAGCCTTCTGTAGGAAAGGTATGTTAAACGGTCTGTGCTTGCATTTTTCGTCTGGAGATTTTCCCAAGTTAGACGTGAGACGAGGCCTGTTGTAGTTTGAGGGGTGTGGTATGAGTGGGTTTAGCCTGTTCAGGGGGTAAAACGATCCTGGTTCTGGGAGTGCCAGAAGCAGGGGGATTGGATTTAAACACCAGGACTTATGATGTACATCCTCCCCTCCCCTCCCCTCCCCTCCCCTCCCAGATCCGGAAGATGAAGCTTCCTGGTCGGGAAAACAAGACCGCTGTGGTGGTGGGGACCATAACGGATGATGTGCGGGTTCAGGAGGTGCCCAAACTGAAGGTGAGTGGGGTGGGGGCTTGGATGCTGTCAGGGGTGGGTCGAGGGCACAAGCCCAGGGGGAGAGTCTGCAGACCTGACTGAGCCCTGCTGTGCTGTGGTGGCTTGTGGTCCATCCTCAGCCTCTGTCTTCTCTCATGAGACAAGCATCATGTGTGTCCGGCTGGCTTTTAGAATCGGATGCAGGTGTTTGTTGGCATTCTCGATGGCGTGAGGCCTCTGTTCCTGTTGTAGACTGTGGACAGTGCTAGCTTTTGAGCCTGACAGCCTGGGCTCAAACATAGATTGAGCCATTCCTGATAGTCATTCCTGAATATGTCCTTAATCTTTTTTTGTCCAAGTTTTTTTATACAGAATAACACTTAGAGTTGGGGTTTTAAAGGAGTTTCTAGATCTGAAGGGTTAAGAACAGCTGCTGTTAACCCAGGGAGCTCCTGGTAGTAAACGGTGGTGGTGTCGGGGCCAGCAAGCAGCCAGCGAGCATGGTGGGTGATGAGTCCCAGCAGTCCTGGGTGGCCATGCAGGGGTTCTCATCCCACCTGCCCTGTCCCCCCAGGTGTGTGCACTGCGCGTGAGCAGCCGGGCCCGCAGCCGCATCCTCAAGGCCGGGGGCAAGATCCTCACCTTCGACCAGCTGGCCTTGGACTCCCCCAAGGGCCGTGGCACCGTCCTGCTTTCTGGTGAGTGATGCTTAGTGGTTCCCATTGGGGGGTCACTGAGCTGTGTGGCTTCTGGCAGCCTTTCCCCTCCCATGTCTAGGAGGTCACACACCCCATCTCCCACCCCGAATCATTCTCCGCCCTGTGAGGGTCAGTTGGAGAGAGGCTTCCTGCAGGAGCTGGGTGCCAGGTCCCCGTCTCACCCAGTGTTCCCCTCCCCAGGTCCTCGAAAGGGCCGAGAGGTGTACCGGCATTTCGGCAAGGCCCCAGGAACCCCGCACAGCCACACCAAGTGAGTATCAGAACCCTATCCTGCAGGTCCAGGCTTGGCCACCCTTCCAGCTGCTTCTGTTCCTCATACCAGTCAGCCTTGGGCCTCCTAGAACTCCCTACCGCCTCGTCTTGCCCAGTTTTTCCTTCAGCTCAGCTTAGAGTGCAATTCAGCTCCCTGGGCCGATAGCGTTAAAATACAGGCTCTCTGGGGCCGGACATCCTGGGGGAACCTGTAGCCTGCATTTTCCCCAGCCCTGCGTGGTGCTCAGATTGGGACCCTCCAGGTCCTGGGCAGACTCTTCGTCAGCCCTTCTTGGCATTGTGGCTGCCTGCACTGCCAAGCTTTTGCAGCAGCTGACGGCCTTCTCAGGCTGAGCAAGGCGCCCTTGCTGCTTCCTTAGCGCAAGCGTCACTGCTGAGTCCTGCCCGCCACCCTGTCTGCATCTGTATGATGGGCACCTCTCTCTTCCCCACAGACCCTATGTCCGCTCCAAGGGCCGGAAGTTCGAGCGCGCCAGAGGCCGACGGGCCAGCCGAGGCTACAAAAACTAACCCTGGACCCCATTTGCTTATTAAAAAGATTGTGGATGTTGATGGCCTTCTGTGTGTTTTGGGGCGTTGGGTTGGGGGATTGGCTCCTGCGGGCGAGAATGCATTTGGTTTGGGGACTGCCAGCCGCACCAGTGGCCAGTGAAGACCAGACTTTGAGAGCAGCAGCCCCCACCCCTGGGGCTCCGCCTGAAAGCACCCTCTGGTGGGTCCTGCACTTGCACGGTGTCTGGACCTCGCCACACCTGTTGGACCTTTGCTGGCCCCTGGGATCAGAGCCCTGCCTCCTCCCTGAGAGCCAGGTGTCAGGTGTTCCCACACCTGCTTCCTTCTTGGGTCAATCCTGCCCCGCCCCCCATTAAAGGACCAGGCACCTTTCCCTGTCCCTAGGGAGGGCAGGCAGGGCTTGGACAGGGAAGGGTAGAGGGGGCGGGCAGTAGGCCCCTGGCCCAGTGCCCAGTGGATGTGTGTTCCCGGAGCCGCGCCCCTGGCCTCCCAGAGACCTGAGCTGGTCAGTCCTCCCAGCCCTGCTGTGTTTACACAAGGGGCTGAGTTCCCCGGATCCCAGGCAGTACGATAAATGAGGCAAGAGGGCCAGAAGAGCCACAGAAGTAAAAGCTGGATGTTTCCAGCACCTGGAACTCACCTCTGAAAAGGCAAGGGAAGCAAGGACGGGATGGAGGCACAGGGAACAGCGGGTATGCGGATGGGGCCTGCAGCGACCAGCCTGGCCCTACTTCCTTCTCTTTGCAGGGCTCCTCGCTGTAGCCGGGAGGAAGGCAGCACCTGGGTTGCTGGGATTGGAAGGAGGAGCTGCCGGTTTGCAGGAATTGGCTCCAGAGTCCTGAGGTTGGGTTAAGAACCTCAGCTAAGGCTTGGGAGGGAGACAGGACGGGATATAGAGTGGCCCCTGTCCAAAAAGTGGGCAGGCAGCTGGCAGGCAGGGTTCAGGCAGAAATCCAGGCTGGGGTCAGCTTGGCCAGGGCTGGGCACAGATCAGAGGCCAGCCCGAAACAGCTCCAAGGGCTGGGGCACAGGCTGGGCGGCCACCTGGGGGACAGGGCCTGGTTAGTGCCCTTAAACCAAGATGGGCTGTCGAGATCGCGGGCCAGTTCTGTGGTGATGAAACCCCTCACAGAGCACGTCACCCTCCACTGCCGCAGCCTGCGGAGGGCGAGGGTCCAGGGAGCAGTGTTCCTGGTTGACGGGGCAGAGGAGAGGTCGCCGAGACTTCAGGCTGGAGCTAGTTCCTCCAAGGCTGAGAGGGCAGGCACGATGGGAACATGTCCCGGAGAGTCTGCCTGTGAGAGCTGCTGAGACTACCGGCTGGCTGGCCCCAAACTCACCCAGACAGACAGATTCAGCCAGGACAGCTGTCAGATCCTCATTGTCAGTCAAAAGCCATCGGTGTTTGCCAGACAGAAAGAATCAGTCTTGCTGTTGACCAGGGGCAAACAGGCAGCCTTTAGTTAGGGACATTTGAGTGGAGACAGGCAGACAGTCCGTGGCCTGGAAGTGGGCCCTCAGCCGGGGCAGGTGAGTGGTCACCCTGGCCAAGTTCAGGACAGCTGAAGGGCCCTAGGGGCATTGTGTGACTAGCAGGCCGGAGGTCGTGTGACCAAGCAGAGATGGCCCACTAATGGGTCACACAGCTGGAGAGGTGTCAGGGGGTCAGCCCGACCAGCAGTGACAGCCGGCAGGAAGGTGAGGGGCGCCAGGGAGGCATGGTGTTAGCTGGAGGAGGCCAGGTAGTTGGTTTGAGCAGCCTGAGGTATCAAGCGGTCAGTCCTTTGGGCAGTGTGATTGTCAGGGCAGTGAGCCAGGGACAGCCACAGGGAGCCATTTGGACTTCTACGGGGCCACCCTGGAGGCCCCTGATGGCCACATAGAATCTGCCTGTCGGGAGACCCTCAGATGGTCAATCGCCCAAAGACAGCCAGACCCTCAGGGACCCAGCCTGATAGTCCTACCCGAGTGGCCCCGATGGCAGCCTCCCAGCTGGCAGCTCTGGAAGGAGAGGAGTCCGGGGCTGGGGTGCTGCCCCTGACCGAAGCCAGCCCCGGCTTCCTATACTCCGAGGGCCAGCGGCTGGCCCTGGAGGCTCTGCTGAGCGAGGGCGCAGAGGCGTTCCAGGCCTGCGTGCAGCGCGAGGGGCTGTGGCCCTTCCTGAGCGGGGATGAGGCCCAAGGCTTGGTGGCAACAGCTGAAGACTGGCCAGTAGCCAAGCCGGAGCCCAGCAGGGCAGCAGAGGGAGCCACTGCCACCGAGGAGGACGTGGGCAGCCTGACCTACTGGCCTGGGCAGTCGGAGCTGCCGGCGCCTGTCCTGCGGCTGGGCTGGCCAGCGGACTCGGCCTGGAAGGGTATTACCCGGGCACAGCTGTACACTCAGCCCCCTGCAGAGGGCCACCCGCCCCTCAAGGAGCTGGTGCGCCAGGAGATCCAGGCTGCCCACAAGGTAGGTGCCTCGGGGCCAGGTGTCCATCCCCCAGACCTGGACATCCACACGTGCCAGCTCCTGGGACAGGGACCCAGGCGTCTCTGCCTTGTCCTCCTGGGAGTTACTAGTACCCTCAGGACCGAGCCCGCGTCCCCCATAACCTACGACCCGGGAGTCCACTCCTTCCAGCCCCCAGGACCCAGGTGTCCTCACTTCCAGACCTCATCTCTCCCTCTCAGTTCTGGGTGCCCCTACCTGTTCCCCAAGACCTGGGTGCCCTTCGCCATCCATGCCTCTTGAACCTAATTGTGACCCCCAGTGTCAGTCACCCACTCCATCCCCCAACACCAGGGGGGGTGCAGCCCCCCTGTGTCCCCTCCTGTGTCTCCAGCCCCCCAGGGCGGGTGCAGGTGTCCCCTGCAGCCATGGCTCTGTCTCTCCCAGTCTCAGTGTCCCTGTTGATGTGTGTAATCCTTGGACAGCCCCGGGAGGGCGGGATGGTCATGCCATTGAGGAGATGGAGAAACTGAGGCAAGGCATGGTGAAATCGATTGCCTTTAAGTGGCCAAGTGGGGATTTGAACCCAGGCCATCTGGCTGGTGAATCAGGATTTGTCACCACTACCTTATTCTGCCTGCAAGATCCAGGTTCTCAGCACCTCTGGGTCCCCTAAGCTCACCTCAGTGGCCTGGCAGGTCACCCCTCCCACCCCCAGCACCCGGGACGCTCCCCAAGCCCCAGAAGTGCAGTCACCTACCCACAATGCCCTGCAAGGGCATCCAGCTGCTGCCCCTGGGGCCAGGCTGCCGTGGACATCTGGGGACCATAGTGTCACAGATCAAGGGACACCATTCCCTGTCGTAGACATGATTTACAATGACAGTTTTCCAGCAGTTCGCGGCTGGGGAGCTGCAGGAGGGGCTGCCTTTTCCTCATTCACACGCAGGCACCGTCTCCCCTTCAGTCCCCCTGAACATCCCACGGAGGCCGGGCCCTCAAGCTCCTGGCCCCCAGAGCACCATACCCCAGTCCCTGATGTCAGGCCCCCTGTCCCCGATGTCAGCCCCCTAGACCCCCGATTATCCCCAAACCCAAGGCTCCATCTGTATGTCCACATCCTCTCTCCCCGGCCCTAGCTGGTGGCCGTGGTCATGGATGTCTTCACTGACCCAGACCTGCTTTTGGACTTGGTGGCTGCCGCCACGCGCCGCTGGGTACCTGTCTATCTGCTCCTGGACCGCCAGCGGCTGCCTGCCTTCCTGGCACTGGCCCAGCAGCTGGGGCTGAACCCCTGGGCTACAGAGGTAAGAGCCGGGCCAGAGGAACCCAGGAGTCCCCATTCCCCTGGCCTGGGGGTAGCAGGGACAGGCCCTTCCAGGGAGGTCCGGGGTCACTGAGGTGGATACCAGCTGAGATGGTCCCTGAGCTCTGATGCCTGTGCCTGCGGGGTGGATGTTCCCACGGGGTCTTGAGCCACTGGACTTGGGTATCTCTAAGAGGCGCCTGAGGCTCTGGGGAAGCTGGGACGGACACTTGGGAGTCATGGATCACCCAGGTAGAAGCAGCCTGGAGGGACCCCTGAGCAAAGGTGTGCCCTCCCCACTCCCGCTCCCCACCAGAACCTGGACGTCCGCGTTGTGCGGGGCTGCAGTTTCCAGAGTCGCTGGCGACGGCAGGTGAGCGGCCACGTGCGGGAGAAGTTTGTGCTGCTTGACGGTGACAGGGTCATCTCAGGATCCTACAGGTATGGTCCCCCCACCCCCATGCCTCCTGGTGTCCTGTACCCAGCTCTCCCTCAGTGTACTAGGGAACAGCTGCCATCCCCTTTCCCGGCCTCTCTTTCTGCATCTGTAAAATGGGTCCAAAACACCCTTCCCTAGAGAGGAAGTATCGTGGGGCAGAGCAGGCTTCGGGCCGGAGGCAGGCTTGCCTGGGTGCCGGCGCCGGGCCTGCTGCTGGCCCGTAGTGGCTTTGGTAAGTCTTTTTCTCTCTGACCTTGTATTTCCTCATCTGGGAAACTGGGCCCACAGTTTGGGGACTGGGGGTTCAAAACCAGGAGGACCTGGCTTGGAGCCTGAGCTCTGCCTGGGTCAGTCACTTCACCTCTCTGAGCGTCTGTGAAAAAGGAAGAGCCAGTGTCAAATGGCCTGGCCCACAGATAGGCTCGCGTCCCTCCTTTCTTTTCTTCGGGGTCCCACTGACCCCAAACCCTGTCCCAGCCACTGCTGAGCTCTCGGACACTGGGCTGGTGCTTCCCCCATTCTCAGTCTGTTCCCCATCTGGAAAGCGTGAGTGATGACAGCACCTACCTCACAGGGTCCCCGCGCGGCGGGGCGAGGGGGCTGTGGACTCTGGGGCCAGGCAGCCTGGGCGCAGATCCTAGCTCTGCCAGTTACTAGCTGTGTGACTCTGGGCAACGTACTTCACCTCTCTGTGCCTCAGTTTCCCCTCTAAAGAGCAGGCTGATTTGGTTAGTGCCTCTAGAACAAGGTAGCAGACACATTTGGGACGGGAGGGTTCTCTGTTTGGCGGGGGTGGGGGCTGTTGTGTGCACAGTAGGATGCTGAGCCGAATCTTCAGCCTCAACCCGGCAGATGTCCGTAGCATCACACCCCGACCCGCCACAACCCTCCCTGCCAGTTATGACAACCGAAGAAGTCTCCAGACATTGCCAGATATCCCCTGGAGAGCAGAGTGGCCGGCTGAGAACCATTGCTCGAGCCCAGTGGTTTTCTCCCTCGGGGCGTGCACCAGAACCATCAGGGGGACTCGTTAGAACACAGCTTTGGGGCCCCACCCCCCTTCATCCTGCCCGGGACAGAGCCCAGGAATCTGCATTTCCAGAAAGTTCCCAGTTGATGCCAAAACTGCCAGTCTGAGGACCCCACTTTGAGAACTGCTAGCGCTGAGACTGGGGTGTTTTGAGGAGTATCCACCTTCCCAGCTTCGCGTGAGGGTTCAGTGCAATGACGGTGCCCGACAGGTGACGTCCGAAGTGCTCCATAAATGTCGGCGTCATTTATGTATTTTTTACCACATTTCATCGAGTCTAAGGTGCAACCCATGGAAAGAAACATCCCAACAAAAATGTGAGAAGATCTGCATCTAAGAACCCACGAAATACAGTAGTGTGACCAAACCCATGGACTGTCCCCCACTGTCAAATCAGGCCTGAGTGCGCTTCACCGAGCACCGGGCTCCTGGCGGACAGCCCTAGAATGGATGAAGCCAGGGCCAGGGGCGGTTGTGCAGGGCCTCAGGCCGTTTAATGGGGGAAGGAGGCGGGGGCACGGGGAGCAGCGGCAGAGCGGGGGGACCAGTCCCAGGCCCTGCCCTCCCTGTGGTCACAGCACATGTTGAGGAAGCAGCAAACCCAGCCCCAGCACCAGGCTGGTGGCCGTCCCTGCTGTCCGACTGCCCGCGGGGCCGGGGGCATCGTTGCACAGGTTGCCGTTGCAGCAGACGGAGATGAGGCTGTAGGTGACGCCCTGGTAGCTGACGGGCTCCTCGCGGCCACAGCTGGTGGAGTGCACGCAGCCCTTGTTGACGATGGGACCAGTGCTCGGGGCGACCCCGTGGCCCGTGTAGCAGTCCTCGTCGTCGCCGCAGTGCATGAGGGTGGTGGGGCAGCTGCTGGAGTCGGTGGGCTCACAGAAAAAGCACTGCTTGACACCCGTGGTGCCCGGGGGCAGAGTCAGCACCAGAAGCAGCAGCCAGCCGAGGACCATGGTGGCCTGGCAGCGTAGACGGTGCTCAAGCCAGGCCGTGGGCTTCCTGAACCTCTTGGAACCGCTGAATGAGCGACCTCCCGGAACTGCCCCCACCCACGCTACGTTTGCCCCTTGTTTGGGCCTCCCAGGGTCAGCGCTTGGAATGTCCTCAGTTCCCAATGCTCTGTGTCCCTCTCCAAGTCCTTGGGACGGAGAGGAGCCAGCAGCTGCTGCCCGACAGGAGTCTGTGGGGTGGAATGAGGTGACCTCACAGATCCCTCAGGGTTCCCACTGGCTGCTCTGGGGTGAGGTCACAGGTGGGGGGAGGGGTGTCACAATCCAGAGGACTCTGCCACCCCGCCAAGGCAAAGATGCTCTGAACACGCTGAGGAGCCGGCCGCGGGCTTGTGCTCTCCTGCGTGCTGCCCCGCCGAGGGCTTGACTTCAGCCTCACACTTTCCTTGGCGACCCCATTTTCCAGATGGGCAAACCGAGAATCGGAAAGGGAGAGTGACGCGTCTGAGGTCCCTGAGCCAGGATTCGGGCTTGGGGGTCATTTAATCCCAAAGAGGCTGGGAGAGAAGGGGATGTTTACTGAGCACTGGCTGAGATGTATGTGCTAAGATCTATGCCGGATGCTTTAAACAACTGCCGTGAAAATGGGGACAGGCAGGGCACTGGCCACCACACTCGCAGCTCTTAGTCCTGGCCATGTGCAGGGAGCTCGATCCCCACTTGAATCTTCCTGTGTTTAGTTCCATATCACAGATGAGCAGACTGAGGCACGGAGCAGAACGCCCAGAGCTGGGCACACAGCAAGTGCTTAATAAATGGCAGTCATAGGAAGCAGCGGAGTTTTTTTTGTTTTGGTCCAGAAGTCTGAGGACAGTAGAGTCTTAAGACAGTCCCTGTGGGTGTCAGGAAACTAAACCCGTCTCTTTCCAGAGGAGGAAACTGAGGTAGTGAAGTCCTCGGTGGGGACTGGGCAGAGCCCGGGTTCGCACTGCGGTCAGATTCCAGTATCCAAACTCACGTTGTCCTTACTTAACCCTCCGGGATAGGTACTGGGTTGTTCCCATTCTACAGAGGGGGAAGCTGAGGCCCGAGAGGTCAGGACTTGCCTAAGGTCAGACAGCCGACCCTGGGACCCAGCTGGGGGCCAGTCTGGGCCTCTTGGGGCTGCATAGAGACCCTGACCCCCCACTCGGTGGCCCCCAGCTTCACATGGAGCGACGCACGCCTGCACCGAGGCCTGGTGACCCTGCTGACCGGGGAAATCGTCGATGCCTTCAGCCTTGAGTTCCGGACGCTGTATGCAGCCTCGGGGCCTCTCCCACCCGCGCCCCCTCAGGGCCCCTTGGTCAGCGTCATGGGGGGCCTGCAGCTGGCCCACAGCCCACACCGCGTGGCCCATCGCCGCTCTGTGGCCCCCGCGTCACCTTCACCACCCGACAGCCCCCTGGCCCATCGCCTGGCTGCCTGTCACGTCTTCAAGGGAGACAGGAAGGAGTCCCCTGCCCCCCCAGGACCAGCACTCAGTGACATCCTAAGGAGCATACAGCGTGGCCAGCCCCCCAGCGGACCCCCAGCCCGGCCCAGCCGCTCCCTATGGGACCTGAGCCGCCTGTCCCAGCTGTCGGGCTCCAGTGATGATGACAAGGTAAGACCTAGTGGCTGCTGCCAAAAGAGGATGGAGGCAGCTGAGGCCCAGAGAGGGGAAGGGACTTGCCCACAGTCACCCAGCCGTGCTCCAGGGCCTGCTCTCCTGAATTCATAGTTGCCACCCCACTTCCTGTACCCCGCTGTGTGCTGGGCGGCCGGGCGATGGGTGGCAGGGGGCAGAGATCCAGGAGCCCTGGGTGCCAATCCTGCCGTGACACAGCAGTTCAGGGGCTGGAGCCGAGGACTTGCCTTCTCTGAACCTCAGTGTTCGCACCAGGGAAATGGGCTGAGCGATTGTGCTCAGTCTCAGTTCAGTTAGGACTCCGTGAGGATAAATGAAAGAGAATGATCACAATAACAACAAAAAATTCCCCAAATGGAATTTATTTTTATCTGTTTCATGACATCCTCATCCCAGGCCAGGGTGGACACCCTCTCATGACGCCCACGTTCATGGACGGGAACGCGGAGGCTCAGAGAGGTCAAGTAACTCGCCCGAGGTGGAGACAACGGTCTCTCGCAGGCACCTTGCCGCAGGCCGGCTCCCACCCCAGAACTTGTGCGGAGGGGGTTCAGCTTAACCGTTGCCGCGGCCCTAGGAAGTGGGTGTTATCACAGCCCTCCACCCACCCACTTCACAGATAGGAAAGCTGAGGCGCCAGAAATGGATTGGAACTCGGCCCTGGCTGCCTCCCAAGTGGGGCTTTTAAATTCCCTGCTTGCTCCCGGCTTCCCGGATTTGAGTGTCTTGTGGGTGCTGGGGAGAGGGACGGGATTAGAGGGGCTCAGAGGGATCTCCCCGCCATGCCCCAGCTGTTTAGAGGAGGGGTTCTGGCAGAGCCTGTTCCAATTCACTGGGGGCCCCTGGGCAGGCGAAGTTTTCTTTCGCAGCCTCAGCTTCCTCGGCTGTAAAGTGGGCTGCTGGTGGCAGCAGAGCCATGTGGGGGAAGCTGGTGGACTCACCCAGGCGCAAGCCGACCTGGGGTACAGTCCTCTGTGAGCTGTGTCCCCCCAGCCTCAGTTTCCCCATAGCTAAGTGGGAGCTGGAGGCAGGCTCCCCTGAGGGAGAGACGTGCTCAGGGAACTGCTTCCCTCGGGCCTGGCAGTGAAGGCTCCAGCGGCGAGGGGAGGGGACGGGCAGGGGCAAGGTCCTCGTCCCCACCTGTTCGGAGCCACCCTCGCCCTCACCCCCATCCCCTCCCTGGGCAAATATTTGCTCCCCCCAGGCAGCTGCCAGCTGCTTCCGGTTCTTCCCCAGCTGCGAAGCCGCAGGTGGGGACATGGATCCTCACCTCTGTGGGTTTGGGGGTCCCAGGGCGCCCCCTCACTCCCCTCCTGGTTCCAGGGGCTCAAGGGCCTTCTCACCCGCCTTTGAGTTTGCTGGCCCCATCCTCCTCCCTCCCTCCTGCTCTACATCTCTCCTCCCATCTCACCTCCTCCCGGCCCTCCTCCTCCCTCCCCTTCCACCCCTCTCTCTTCTCTCATCTCCCCCTTCCCCCTCCTGAGCCCCTCCCCTCTAGTCTAACCTCCTCCCTCACCCCTCACCCCTCACCTCCTCGCCTCCCTCTCCGCTCTCCCCTCCCTCCCACCCTCCATCCTCTCCACCTCTCTTGCCCCCTCCATCCGCTTCCCCCCTTCCCCCCTCCCTGGCTCTGAGCCCCGCAGGAGCCTCCCCTCACCTCCCTCTTTCCCTCACAGCTCCAGAAGTCCCGGGGCTCCAAGGACACCCCGGCCAAGGCCCTGATGCGGCAGCGGGGCACTGGAGGGGGCCCCTGGGCCGAGGCCGACTCCCGTCCTCCTCCGCTGGCCTGGTCCCAGCCCTGGGGCGGTCCCCTGCCCCTCATCCCTCCACGACGCCTCCACTATCTGTCCCCAGCCCCAAGGAGGTTTGGTGAAGATGCAGCGTCCAAACTCCCAGAGCCCAGAGGCATCCGGCAGCCAGACTGGGCCTCCCGCGCGGGACCTGCGGGGCAGCCCTGACAGGAGCCCGGGCCAAACTGGGCTGCCCACCGGAGGAGAGCTGGATGACGCGTCAGCTCGGAGCTCCCGGCCAGCTTGGGCCTCGGACAGGCCTCTGGCTTCAGTGTCTGGGAAATGGAAGGGACTTTTTCCACTTGTTCTAGAACTTGGGCAAACCCAGTGCCCAACCTGGCCCTCAGTGTCACAGTCCAGAAAATGGCAAATAAGCAGGAAGTCGAGCCTCCACCGGCTGCGGATCCTAACAGCCCGCATCCTGCTGGGGTGTCTGGACTTCTCTGGGGAGGGGCCTGGCAGAGCGGCCCCCCTGCTGGAATCGTGGGGGGCCAAGGTGGGGAAGCCCTGGGACAAAAGGGGAAGCTGCTGGCCCGGTGGCTCACGCCTGTAATCCTAGCACTCTGGGAGGCCGAGGCGGGTGGATCGCTCAAGCTCAGGAGTTCGAGACCAGCCTGAGCAAGAGCAAGACCCCGGCTCTACTAAAAATAAAATTAGCTGGACAACTAAAAATATATATATAGAAAAAATTAGCCGGGCATGGTGGCACATGCCTGTAGTCCCAGCTACTCGGGAGGCTGAGGCAGGAGGATCGCGTGAGCCCAGGAGTTTGAGGTTGCTGTGAGCTAGGCTGACGCCACGGCACTCTAGCCCGGGCAACAGAGCCAGAGCCAGAAAAAAAAGGGGGAAGCTCCTGGCACCCACTATGCTCAGGAGCTGTGGATAAACTGAGTCAAGGAGCTGAACAATGAGGGGCTGGAAAGTTGTGGGGACACAGCTGCTGCGGGTGGGCCATGGGGAGGGGCTGGGTGGGCAGTGGAACCGTTCGTGGGCGCTAAGGGGGTGGGTCTGCTGGAGATCCCCTTTCCTTATTCTCAGAATAAAATGTGCATTTTGGCATGAAAACGATCAGCCTGACCAACAAACCTAGAGTCCAGCCCCAGCGCCTCCTCCCTCAGACCCGGGGGTCCCCAGCACCTCCTCCCAGCCCGGGCAGTCGGGACAGCCCCCTCCCTGGGGAAGCCAATGCCCAGCGCTGGGCTCCGCAGCACCTTTGCCTCCGGGGGGGCTCCTGAGTCACGGACCAGCTGGCGCCTGATCGGGAAGGGGCCCTGCCCTCCGAAGGCCTGGGGTGCCACTGCAGGGGTCCCCACCCCAGCCCCCGGCCCCCCATGTCACACCGCCTCCACAGCGCGTCAAGGAGCCGGGGCAGGGGTGACACGTTTATTCTCAGGGTCACGGGTGGGGGGACTCAGAGGCCTGGCTGGGCCTGGGGCTGGGCTCGGGGTCCAGATCGGGGGTGGCGTCCTCCCGGGCCTCGTCCCACGGGAAGGCCTGCATGCCCCGCATCTGCTCGCGGTAGACTCGATCGAAGGCTTCACTCTGCGCCACCGTGAAGTGGTTCTTCCAGTCACCAGAGACCCCTGGCAAGGCGAGGGACATGGGGTGAGCATCACCCCCACCCCGCACCCACCTCCTGGCCTTTGCCCGAAACACTGTCCTCCCGCCACCCACTCCCTCCACCTGCGTTTCGCCCCCTCCGACATCCCTGATGACTCTGCTCCAGTCACCTGGCCTGAGCCCTGGCACCATTCTCACCTCCTCCCGCCCCCGGTCCCCCGTCCCCCACAGCAGACCTCCTGCCAGTCCTCGCCTCACCCCACCCCTTAATTCTCGCTCTCACTCAGCATCCAGCAGCCTTTATAGCCCCCAGTCACCTCCCTGCCAGGACAGGGCTTCCTCACCCAGGGCTCCCGCGACACCCTACTCCCCTTCCCTGAGTGGCTGGCATGGAGGGAACCCCTCCCCTGCAGGCCCCTCGTGCCAGGCTTCGTGGAGACCCTCATGCAAGCCAGCTCCCAGCCGTGTGCCCTGGGACCTCTCCCGGCTCCAGGCTTATCTCGTCACCGGGCGGCCATCTGGGGCATCACCCCTTACCTGGAAACCCGGGGCCATTGGCATTTAGCAAGTGCTTGTGCCACATGTTACACGACACCCGCAGTGAAGTCCTGAGGAGCGGCTCCCTGAGGGGGGCTCAATGTCAAGCCCCGCAACGTCCACGTGCTAATCCCAGAACCCGTGACTATGTGACCTGATGTGGCCAAAAGGGCTTTGCAGATGAGATTAAGCTAAAGGCCCTGAGAGGAGGAGGTCGTCCTGGGCTGTCCAGGGGGCCCCGTGTCGCAGGGGAGGCAGGAGAGTCAGGGTCAGAGACTAGAACACGCTTTGCTGTTGGCGTTGCAGACAGAGGAGGAGGTCACGGCCATGGAATACTGGGGCTCAAAAACTGAAAAGGCAGGGGGGGCAAGCGGTTCTCCTTGAGAGCCCCCAGAAGGAAAACATTCCTAGACACCTTAATTTTAGCCTAGTGAGGCCGATTTCCAACTTCTGATCTCCAGAAGTACGAGAGAATAAACGTGTATTGTTTTAAGCCACAAAGTGTGTGGCGTGCTTTTTTTTTTTTTTAGAGTCAGGATCTCACTGACTTGCCCAGGCTGGTCTCCAACTCCTGAACTCAAGCAATCCTCCCGCCTTGGCCTCCCAAAGTGCTGGGATTACAGGCTTGAGCCACCGCGCCCAGCACAGTGGCATTTTGTTACAGCAGGAACAGGAAGCTAATATACTCCCACCCCCGCTCGGTAATGCAACACTTGAATATTTCTGCAGTGAACGTGACCGTGAAGGAAGGTGCACGAAGACTCTAAATAGCCTCACGGCGGCCGGGATCTGGCTTTGGCAGGACACGTGGACGTTTTGCTCCCATTGGGAGCTCTCCCGGTGCAAAGGGAAAGCCTCGGGTGGCAGGCACGTGTGCCAGGCCCGCGCTAAACCCTGTGCGTGGCGTCAACCTGGGTCCACGGTACCCCTGTTCACCCCATGTTACAGCTGGTGAAAATAAGGCACAGCAGAGAGGTTAAGTAACTCGCCCAAGTCACACAGCAGTGACCTCGTGGGCTCCGCACCTTTCCGGAGGAAGGCCCCCTGGCGGTGGTCCAGCAGGCTGAGGGGCAGCAGCGTGTAGTTGGACATGGTGTTGGCCTTCATGGCCCCGAAGGTCGAGTGTGCCACGACGGAGCTCAGCACCTCCTCGCTTAGCGGCCGGCCCAGGAACTCGCAGACGCGCTCCACAGAGCCCCGGAGGTCCTGGGCACAGGGGCGAGGCGTCAGTGGGGGAGGGGCGAGGCGTCAGTGGGGGAGGGGCGAGGCGTCAGTGGGGGGGGCAGGGGAGAGGCGTCAGTGGGGGCGGGCACCTGGCCGAGCAAGGAGCTCGGGACCCGGAGTCTGGACGTCTGGGTCCCAACCCGGGGCTGACCCGGGGACTCTGCCTCTCCCCTCGGTTTCCCGCCTCCACGCCGAGGGGCCGGGGAGGGTTCGGTGGGCGGGGCCGGGGCGGAGCCAGTTCGGCACCTTGTTGGGGTAGAAACAGGCCTCGGCCAGTCTGGGCCTCAAACCTGCTCCTCGCCTGGGGCTCCGTCTCGGGGCGTCCCCACCACTGACCCTGTCACGAGGCCAGACTCCTGGGCATGGCCTTCCCGCTCCTTGTCTCCCTCGCCCCCCATCCCTGTATCAGTCCTGACCCTCCTGCCCTCGACTCCCTTTGCCCTGTCCCCTCCTCTGTGTCCCCACAGCCCTAGCACTGCCTCAGGTCTTGTCCGCTCCTTTCCGGGCCCTCGGCCCAGCCTCCTCCCAGCCTCCCTGCTTCCAGCTCATCCCGCACCCGAGCTGACCCTGCGCCTCCAGCTCCAACTCTCCCATGGCTCCCCACTGCCCCGGGAAAGAGTCCCAGCTCCCAGGCCTGGCTTTCAGGGACAGGTGTGGTCTGGCTTTGGCATGGAGCTGCCAGAAAGGCCTTTGCCACTGCTGTAGCTCAAATATTGCCTTCCTCATGACAGTGACGGTTCAAGTCACTATAGATTGAGCACCTACTGTGTACCAAGCTTTGGCCCAAGCCTGACATATTGATCTGTGCCTATCTTGCCATCAGCTTTGCAAGGGAAGTGTCATTATCCCATTCGGTAAGTGGAGGCCCAGAGAGGGAAAGACACTTGTCCAAGGCCACACAGCCTGGGAGGTGCTCAGACTCAGGTCCCTGAAGTCCTCCCCTCTACCTGGCTGCCATCTGACATGCAGCACCGGGCAAGTCAGCCCCCCCCCCGCCCCGTCAGCTCCACCAGCCCCGCAGCCCTGATTTCCCTGGTTGTTCCTGGTTTCGTAACCTCCCATCTCGTTATCCTCCTGAACCACTGACGTGTCCCAGAAACTCTAACGTGGGCGGCGCCTCACACCCAGGGGCTGCCCAGAAGCTCGGTTAGGCTGTGTGGCCCAGTTTTTGGTTTGGAGAATAAAGCTTGCTGGGAAATAAGGGGAGGAGTGATGCCGAAACCTTTTCCAGAGCATTCCACCAAAAGAAATTTACCGGGGTGGAAAAAAAAAACCCATGAAGTTTGCAGTGAAGAGCTGTGTGCCTTGGGCAAATTATCGACCCTTTCTTAAGTTATAAACCCTCGGTTTGCTCCTCTATAAAATAAGAATAATAACATTAGGGAGAATCGTATAAAATTATCATTTTTTGCAGATGAAAATTGGCATTTCACGGGGTTCAATTTTATATGCACCTCACCTGCCCTTACTTTGTGGGGATTAAATGAGGTGATTTGTGTCAGGCGTTTGGTGCCTGGCATTTGGCAGCAAGTGCAGGCATTTGCTATGATCGTTGTTATTACTAATCAGGCCCTCACTTGGAACCTAATCACTCTTACTTTACACACTATGCTAACATGTTGC